TTACAGTTAAGAGTTGAGATATGGAATGATGAGTTTTATATTTGTTAACTAATGTTATTATCTTGAGGCTCTGTTTGGACTTTTTGCTGATACCTGGATTGGAAAAGATGTTTATTGAACTTGCCTATAGTTAAGAGATGAGTTACTGGATGAAGAGTTTTATATCTGTTAATTAAGAGGAGGTGAAGAGATAGTGAAACTGTTTATACTTGTCATGATGAGGGTGGTTTTTTTCTTTTTTTTTCTTTCTTGCACCTTTTACTCTCTTTATTTTTCTTTTTTGTTTGTATTATCTTTTACTATTATGGTTAAAACTTTTAATAACTCTTCAAAAAAAGAAACAAGCACTCAAACCATTTTAAAGATTCTACCATAACAAATAATGGGAACTCAAAACAAATCCCCATACCCAGTAGTCCACGCTATATCAATCTGCAGCAAGATTGCCCTAAATGATGACTCTTTTAAACAAAGGAGAACATTAAATTTGCACTTGAAGTAATTAAAACATGGTATTTGCAACACAACAACATTACTATGCTAAGCAAAAACAACTGCCACTGGATTGATTTCAATACAACTCATGTGAAACAGAAGATAATAACAACAATAGTTTCAGCCACAGGCTTCTGAGAGGCTTGTTCCTAATTGACATGTATATATATTTTTTGGATTATTAACCTGGTCTGTTGACATCAGACCAAAACAGCCTATGTATGAGGTAAACTGCCTCTAAAGTAAAACACCAAGCAGCAGCAGCACCACATATTTTTTACTTTCCAAAACATCAACTTTGCACATATGAACATGCCAAAACTAGCACATAGTTTGTGTTTTGTATTTAGCAAGAGCAGCCTGAAACCTCAGTTAACAAAACTGATTTTTCCATTTGTCTACCTACAGTGCCTCCACAGAAAGAAAATACAGCAACACACAGGCAGCAAACAACAAAATTACAATGTAACAGTGAGAAGAACTTTATTTCTTTATTTTATTAAATTTCCCCAAAATAAATAATTTAAAAATGCTGTATATTTACCTAAAACAGTTTACTAGATACATAGCAATTTTTTCTTTTTTATTGTTAAATTTGCATTTGGAATTTTAGCCTGGCTGCCAAATCCCCTCTGGACCATGCCATTCTGGGGTGGTCCAGCAGGTTCTGGAAGGTAATTCTGTGAACCAGAAGTGAATGGACATGTCCCAGGAATGATTGAGCCCTAAAACAGATCTGTTTTATCTGGAATGTCATGTCTGGGACACCTCAAACTGCACCTATTTTAAAGGATTTACTTCCACAAACTGCTAAGCTACCCCAAGGATAGCATGATCTGGAAAAGAGCTGGCATTTTACACATCTGTAATAAGTTAATTGATGGTTTTGGAGTCTTTCTGGGTATAATATATATTGGTCTAAATCTCAGAGTATGCCTTCAGGGACTTCTAAACTGTCCATATCAGCTTTTTATGGACAACTTCTATGGGCCATTCTCAAAGCTCAAAATGAGTTATTATCAGATAAAACAAAAAGTAAAATTTGATCCTATAATCATGCTAAATTATTATAATGGGGAAATTTGAGAAAAGCAAGGCAGCCTTTTTGTTGGACAACCTGGGTAGAATGTGGAATGTAGACTCAACAGATGAATTTTTATGTCTGATGTATTATTTGAGAAATTGCAATATTAGTATCTTTTGCTGAAACCTAAATGTTAGCTGGTAGTCCTAAGTACCACAAAACGTCCTATGAGAGTAGAAAAATTCATATGTTCTTAATGACATAAGACTATTACAGCTATTTATAAAGTGTTGATAAAATAATTAGATGTTAAAGATAACACTAAGTTAAGGAACTGGAATAGTCATGAATTAATATAAATGAATAGAATATCATTTTGGCATTCTATGTCACATTTTTATATATTTAAAATACAATTAATTCAACAAAATATTATCTCACACCGATGGAAAACTATGTGAGACATTAGGAAGAAACTAGTGTGTTCAGCTAATTACTGGAGATATAATGCTCAAAATGCAATGCTATTTCATTAGATGTGTTCACATGCTATAATGGCTCCTGTTTTGATAACAGTTATTTCATATATTAATTTTATTTTGCAAGACTTACTAATTTTTTATAGATATATACTATGCTGAGTTGTATATTCATGGTTTATAAACTGATAGGGAGGACTACAGTAATGAATACTGCATTTTTATGATTACAAACCACCTGATACTACAAGGCTGGAAGGACATTCATTCTCTGTCAATTATATAACGCTCTGTAGAACTCACCTTCCTAAATCTGAGGAAGGATTTTACTGCTAAGAATTCCATTTAGAGGATTATTGATACATTTCAGAAGTTTATTAATTTTTTTACTGTAACCCAACAGACTTAAAAGTTAATAATTTAATTATAAAATATGACATCTGGAGAAAAATCAGTAGGTATTATGTAGCATTTTTCTCTAAAAACAGAACATTTTGAATTATTTAATATTACTCTTTAGAATACATAAAATGTTCAAGACATGGTGTTTGCTCCCCACCTCACCCATTGATTTCTAATATATGTGCAATAAGAATACACTAATATAAGATAATTAGAGTAGCAGGTCATTTCAGGTTTTGTACACTGAGGATAAGCAATACAATGTAATGCAAAAGCAAAATGCACTTGTGATCCAACAGAGGCAACAACCATTCTCACAAAAGTAAAGAATTCTGTGCTTTCTTTGTGGAGTCTTTCTTGTTAACATTTGAAGCAATTAATCTGGTTTGTTTCTCTCTTTCTAGCTGTTTGACACTACTGAGGAGACTAAGTTAAACACATTAATAGCCTCTGTGGTTCCTTCTATTTTCAATTTTCTTTTTGCCTGTTTCTCATATACTAGTAAAAATTAAGAAATAAAAAAAATTCTTACTGCTCAGCAACTTATGTCTGTAACAAATGTAAACATAGCTATTTAACAGAAAATTCAATTAGTAATTTTGAAATTTTCTGAATAATCTAAATGTTTACATCACTTACTTGTTAATTTGATGAGCAAAGCATATTATGTGGAATAGAATTTATGCTCCTAAATCAACAAAATGATTTAGGCACTAAAAATAAGTATTACATTTAAAAAAATTCATCCTAAATCCTAAAAATCTGTTATTCCTATTATAACTTCTAAATTCTGGTAATTTTACACCATGGGTTATCACAATAGATCAATTCCATCATATAGTTTGAATAAATGTATGTTCCAGATAACTAGAGGAAAGCTGGCCTATTTTTAAGTGATATCCAATATCTAGTGCGTGTTTCCCAACTTTGCAACTTCTACATGTCCCAGAATTCTTAGCAATGGCCAAATTGGTTGGGGCATTCTGCGGGCTGAAACTCCACTCATCTGGAAATTGCTTAGACTAGGAAACACTGATATACAGTGAAGAGTATTCTGAACTAGTTGCAAGTGTATAAAAAATTTAATCCAAATCATTTTTATTTGGTTATGAGCTATGTAAATTATGTTTAAGTCTCATCTCTGTTCCTACCTAAAACTCAAAGCAACAGATAACAGAATTTAAACAACCTTTAACATTACATTAGCAGAAAGCAAGTATTCTTAAAAAAACAGTTAAAAAAAAAAAAAAAAAA